TCATCGAGGTTGTTCAGATCCGGCAACTGAAATGAAAAACAATATTATCATATTAATATTTAATGATTTGAATATTCCATATAAGGTGATATAGCATATTATCTTAAGCTTAAACGATTCATAAAATTGTATATCTTTCATTTCTTCGAGAAAAACGCGTACTCCGATTGGAATAAGAACGAGCTATTATGAGATTACGGTCCAGATCAATTATCTTATCGTTCGACCTAAATTACTACCTACTTTTAATTAAATCGAACAAGATGCTTGGTAGAAAAACAAAAAGAAAGGAGTACAATAGTACTCGTGATTATACGTTTCTAGAAAATTAATACAATACGATCTAGAATATCGTATCGTGCACAAGAATGAATAATTTAATAATAAAGAAATAATTTCGAATGAACCTTCGACTGTTGTATTTGAAATTTAATTGTTCATGTATTCTCTATTGTCTCAGATTAATATTTATATCATTTTGTATATTTCCACAATAAAACTACTTTACACGTATATGATTAATATTAAACTTGCCTGTATGATTGAACGTAATAGAAATTTAAAAGACGAATAAAAGATGGATAAAGAAGACAGATCGTTTATCTTGTCGATTTTTGGACGTTCCGTCCAAAACTGTGATCATTTATACCGTCAACTTGTCTAAATCGTTAAGCATCGATTATCATATCATTTTGATATTCGAAATTAAAATGTGTATTTCGAATCACAAACATAAAAAAAAGAAAAAAAAAGGATCGTATCTCTGATAAATTAATAAAGATTATTATGAAAACATCTATCTACGATATCCGTGAAAAAAAGAAAATGAATTTATTATGAAGCTTCTGTATTATGATCCTCTTTCTTTTCCATTTTATCAAAATCGCGAGAGGAAATGATTTAATAATTCGATAGTTCGATGTGAGTGCCGTCTATCCTCTGATCTTTGAACTTCTAATCGATCAGAGAAAAACTTTATTCTGTTTTATCGGTTGATGAAAGTTGATAATGTAGAGAACGATTTTATCGCACGTGATTATTCCTCCGGAAGATGTCCTGCCATGTTTCTAAGCTTTTTCTCGAGTAGGCAGATTAAAGGAAATTGAAGGCAATTTGTATCAATCTGCTGTCCCGTCAGAATAATATATTCTCCTCGAGTATAGCGTGCTAGTGTCAATTTAACGCCCGATGTGTCGGCTCGTCTAATTAACCTTCGTTATTGTCGTTGGGTATCACATAAGAGGGAATTTCCGTGACACGAAGCAAAAGAAACAGGGCTTCTCATTTTTCGTGACCCTTATTTCCGCAAAAGATTGAAAAATGAATAAATGATAATCAGAAAATAACGGAAAGCCTTTTAATTTTATTTTGCAACTCGATCTCAAATCATTCTCGATCGTTTAAAAATCACATTTAAAGAATCGTTTTAAAAATTCATTTATCTTTTCTAAAATCTCTAGTAATAATAAAAAAAAATTACAAATCACTCTTTCACCATGTGAAAAAGATTTTATCATATTGATTATCATAAGTTCATTATCGAAAGATATTCGATAATTAAGAAAATTTTCAATAACGAATCGTAATTAGGTTAATATCAATTTTAACGCTCTCGGACATCACGTTTGCCACTTATTACGTTATCTGTTCTATTTATGGATCGTAAACTAATGTATCTAATTTATAAAATTTGTATAAAAAAAAAGAGAGAAAGAAAGAAAAAGAGAAAGAAGTAGATATAACGGAACAAATCAGAAATAGATCCATGACTTTTTTGCAACGATCGTATTTCGAAGTTTACATTTTTGGTTTATCTCGATCAGTATTAAAAAATACAATAGCCCAGGTATAAAAGCGTGACTCATACGACCTACGAAGTTTCTTGTGATAATTAAATCCGATACGTTTTCAACAAAGTTAAAACTTCGCATTTTCGATTGAAATTAAAAAAAAGTTCTCGTAATTTTCCTCTATAACAAAATGTCGGAAAAGTTACCGTTCAAAAAAATATTAACGTAATGATTATCTCGCAATAATATGCAAATTATTTTAGCATTTGCGATAATATTTAAAGGCCACGGTCTACAAAGCGTTACTGTTTTAAGGAGAACGGATCGATATATATATTACCTTGGAGACAGTCTCTACGAGACGCCTTGGATAACGTATCTACGCAAACGTAACTACTTACGTAAATTTACCTTCGCGCAATGAAGTACGTGTCACTTTAATTAAAAGATTAAAATTGAAGGTAATAATCATAAATACATTCGCTAACAATTCGCCTTCTAATTTTATTAAAAATATAAACAAATAGTAATTATATATTATAAATCGTACGATCGCGTTCCTTCAAGATTCCTTTAATAATCAGTCGTGGAAATTATGATTATAATAGAAGGTGTCACGTACATGTATTCACGCATACATAACTATCAATATGTACTAGTTTTCTATTTTCCTTTCTTTGTGTATATTCATTCGAGAACGTCTTACGGTTTTATATGAACGGGACCACGGTTGCAGCACTCGTTCGGTTATCAAGAGATATAAAACTCTTATATTCGTATCGATTCTAACTCAGAAAACTTCTGAATGCGCAACCAAGCGAAGTATCTTTAATTTCTGTTTCAAACGATAAAATGTTTAAAGAGAAGGAGAGAGAAAAAAAAGAAAAAAAAAGAAGAAAAAAAAGAAAAAAAAAAGAAGAAAGAAAAAAAAGAAAGAAAAAACGAAAGAGAAGTTAAGAAGCAATAAAACGTTACGATAACGGAAAACGACGAAGGCGGAAGAAAGGAACGAGCTGCAAAACGCATTCCGATGCGTTTTCTTAAAAATACGAAGAAAAGGGGAGTATAGAAAGCGCATACATCTGATCTACGCTCAAACTTATTCAAATTTATACGATCGAAAGGCAAAAGACGCAAGCACAAAGGAAAGTTTGCCTATGAGATATAACGTAAAGAACGAGTTCGAAGACGTACTCTCATCTTTGTTATCATGTACCATGGATTTTATGACTAACCCTAAAAAGTTATCATAAAATAAAAATCATATTAATGTTATCTTCAGTGAAATTTCAATCTCTCTGAGCATACTTATAAGTTTTTTTTTTTTTCTTTCATTCTTCATATATATATATATATATATATATATATATATATATATATATATATATATATATATATATATAATATATATAGTATATATTGTATATAATATAATATATATAGTATATAATATAATATATATAGTATATATTATATATAATTATATATATATATGTGTATAATATATATTACATATAATCTTATATATATATATATATATATCGAAAATAAGAATTATGATTTATTAAAATTATTAATATAAAAACTATGAAAATAAATTATATCCATTGCAAATAATATTGTGATAATGATAACGAATAAATTAATTTCCTTATATTATTTCTCATGAAATTTCACTCATAATAATTTAAATTCTAAAAGCAAACGAACATACTCTTTTTGATTTATTTTGAGAAGAATTTTCCGTAAATATAAACTCTTCCATGCTCTTCTAATTCCTTCTGGTATTTCTACAGTGACTCTCCTTTTCATTTCCTCTTCTTTACTACTCTGCCATCGTCAAAACTAAATCAAATAGTCTCGTTCTTACTTCAGATCTTGAAACGATCCTCGAACTGTTCTTAGTTGAATAGACTCGATACATTACTCTCTCTCCGAGACAGGACTTTGAACTCAGTTAAAATAAGTAAAATGACTAATCTTTATAGGGAACTTGAAAATAAAAGGAAAGATCAATGAAAGTCAATATTCTTTATCTTGCCTCTCGATAACGAACTCATTGACTCTAATAATGTTCTCGATCAACACGCTCGTAGCCTAGCAGTATATATAATAGTCAATAATAACGTACCAAATAATTTCACATCGATAATAAAAAATTTACCTACAATCTGCCTTACATTATCTTATTCTAGATACATTAATGATTACCTGTTCGTATAAATACACAAACTCATATAAAATTTTTCATATAATAAAATAAAATCGTTTAAAAATGAAACTTTAATCATTTCTTAACATTTAAAAAAGCAACATTAGTACATTATTATTAACTATCTATATACAACATAATAAATCCTTTTCAATAATTATCTTTTCTTCTAATAAAATCCAAGTCGAGTAAAGCACTTAGTTATTACTCATTATTTTGAAAAGAGAATTTCTTCGGTATTCGAAACTATGAAACGTTCTCTCAAATACTTGAACGGATACATTAAACGTATCTTGCAACTACATGAGTTAGCTTCGAACTATTCGATAGACAGACATGCTCTTCGTCCATTCACAAAAAAGCCCCGAGCGTGTTTCGGGAGATAAGACTTCTTCTTCTTCTTCTTGTTCTTCTTCTTCTTCTTCTTCTTCTTCTTCTTCCTCTTCTTCTAGTCCCTATTCCATAACTCTCGGCAAGTTTCTCATCACACTGCAAATCCTTGCATTCTCTCTTCCTTCCTTCCCTTCGACGGCAGCGGCACGCTTCGTCGCATCCTCCACCGAGGGAGTTAACTTGGTGAAGTCTAACCACCGATCAAAAGCCAAGGAAGTATGACGGTAACGCAAAGAGCGGCCAAGCAACTCGCACACATAGCTAGAGGGCTAGCTGCTGCTTCCGTTTCTACTTCTACCCCATAATCATCGATTACGTCGTCCCTCTCAAATTCCCGTACCTCGACGTCGCATCTAAAGCAAACTCTACTTCTCTTTTCATAAGAACTTTCATCTCTTCGAAGAAGAAGTGCCGAACCCTTTCTCTCCAATTTCCAACCAGGCTCTTGTACCAACATTCGTGTCATTCTTACTTGATACAATTTAAATTCTTCTTAATGTCTTCTTGCTAAATTCGTTATCTTTCCTTATTTCGCCACCTGAAAATAAAATTTAATAAATAAGTCGGAATCGTAAGTAAAAATTTCGATTTTCTTTTCCAGTCGAAAGTATCTACACTGTTTCAACGTGCT